AACATTGTTTTGATCAGAGAAGACGACAACAGCAGCCTCAGTCTGTCACTGGAACAGACCCAACACAGCAGACGCTATCAAGGACGTGAATACTTTATTCTTTACACATATTACACTGATCTCAGGATGGCATTCTGAAGGCAGGCACTAGGAAATACTGGCGTGGTCGACGGGTTATGGGTGAGGTTAGAGTGCCGTCACATCGCCTACGAGACGCCAACCGCCTCACCATTTATGTTCTATTTTTTAACCTTCAAAACCTCGTATGGTCGGCTGCCTTTGACTACATCAAAAAATTTCAACATTTTTGCAGCACAATGGCCGAATGGCAAAAGACCTCACGTGGTGATCAGGCGAACCGAGCTGGTTAGAAGTCTCATTTCAACAAGCCTCATTTCATTATTCAGAGTTGAAGGAAGATTGTTCTTGGGTCCTCCGTGCCACAAGAGGGAGTAACCTGCTCACCACCAGAGTCCACCTACGAGCACAGACCTGCAGGCAACGCTTTTTGCTCTTCTTCCTGTTATTCGCAAGGTGCTCAAGTCAAACTGTGGGCCAGCCTGAATAGTCGGAGACATTTAATGCACCATCATGACGACTTTTTTGACTTTTTTTTTCTCCCCCAGGCAGCAGCAAACATGATCGAAAGACCCAACACAGAGTGTCTCTCCCTGGTAAGTTTCATGCCCAACACATCTTTGTCTGCACAAGAAATTGACTTGCGTGTAACTCACGGATGCCTTTCCTCTCAGGTCAACACACCTGTCCCACATTCTGCTCAAGAGCTGACCACTTCGCCACCCAGCAACAAGCAGATTGCCATCCAACTTGCAATTTTTTCCTCTGCTTTTGTGATTGTCTACTCTGCAAAAGAAATAAAGCTTGATTACAAAGAACACTTCAACTCAAATTCATTTTTAAACACATCACCACAATCTAACTTAAAAAAAAAAAAAGTAAACAAAATTATTTTCTGTTTTTTTTCTAAACTTTTTTTCTGAATTTTTTTTTTTTTTTAATTTTCCAATTTTTTTTTTTTTTTTCCAATTTTTTTTTTCCAGGCAGAAAAATCCAGGAAAGTGGGTGTGGCCTCACTGGCCTGGCTGGAATGATGGCTGATGATTCGCTGATAGCTGTGAAAGTGGGTGGAACATGATGATAACACTGTGATTGGTGAAAATGGGGAGTGGCTATGCAAATTAGGCGTTCTCTGATTGGCAGCTCTTTAGGGCGTGGTTATGCAAATTTAGATCAATCTGATTGGTCAGGACTTGGAAAATGGGCATAGTTATGCAAATTTGTGTTTGGGTTATGCAAATGTAGGCCTCGCCGCGATTGGTGGATGTCAAATGGGTGTGGTTTGGGGCGGGCATTGCAGCACTTTTTCAAAGTCCCACTTGAGTCTTGAGCTCAGACTTGCACTTGGGTCACATCAGACAGTCTTTTCACTGTTCCCATCGGTTTCACATGACCCAAAAGCTCGCTTCCTGGAGTTTCGAGTCATACGGAGACCAACGGGAACAGTGAAAAGAGTGTCTGATGTGACTGAAGCGCAAGTCTGAGCTCAAGACTTCAGTCTTTGAAAAGGCTTCAAGTGAGTTTTTTGATGGATTTGGTCATGATAGGCAAAGACTCAAATTCAAGTTGAACAATGTATTGGACAGAAAACCGAACATGACAAAGTAAAAGCACTTGAAAAGCGAACATGACAATGTAAAAGCATTTGACCAGTCAATCTTTGTGTGGACCACTTCAAGTTGCACGCACACAAACACTGACGACAGGCCTGAGATGGGAGCATGTGCTTGACCAGCTCATGCGTGATGTCACTGACATCTCATGACACACCAAGGGGGACATGAGCACGTCCGACTTCTCTCAATGAAACAAAAACTAACTGCCGTGTACTCCACAACAACATGATCACACTCTTCTGGTCAAGTTTTTAAATGACATTGAAGTGGCCCAAGCTAGTCATATGTATGTATATATTATAGATATATGCAAACATAGACACATTTTTAAACTAACTTGGTCCACTTAAAGGTTTGAAAACATATTCCAGAAGTGCTTGATGATGCTCGGGTTGTCTATGTGGAGTTGACACTGTTGTGCAGTACACGAAGCAGAAGTTTAAGTTGAGTGAGAGACAGACAGACAGACAGACAGGCGGGCACACTCACTGTGGAATGACGGACAGAAGTGCGTGCTCACGCGTACGAGTGCGCGTGTTTACTCAAAAACGAGGTCGACTGGAATGTGATTCACCCCGAGCTGTTATTTGGCGCCGCGACACACCTTGGTTGCAGTTCCTTCAACCTCCGTGGCCCAAGAGGAAGCCCGTAGACAAGTCTTACATCGTGTGTGTATGTGACAGAGAGAGAGAGAGAGAGAGAGAGAGAGATCCTGAACAGTAAATGGGGAGTGGCAGTTTCAGGCATTCCCAGTACACTTTGCTTGACAAGTTCAATCCAGCATTTGACTCCTACTCAACATGACAAGAAATGGAGGCCTTTAACCGGAATCACACTGACAAACGCTGACAACGGGGAGACGGAGGAGGACACAACCCCAACTGCTTCCAAGTAAGAACGAGCGATTTACTGAAGCTATTTATAAGTCCGTTTGTCATTTTGGAGAAGAAAGAGAATGTGTAGGACAAATGACTAACAGGCCCCGTGTGCTACTAAATGTACCTAAACTTCATTGGCACCCACAACTCCTCTCAGTTTTGACTTTGTTGTCATTTTCTGCAACACAAAGGCAAGATTTCAAAGGCATCGTAACTGGTTGGTCTGGATTTTTGCTTTGTGTGCTTGTGTGTTTTTTTTTTCTCAATCTGGGATGTTTAAGTCAGATGTCAGAGATAAAATAAATGGAGATGGACAGACAGAGGCATATTTTGGAACTTGAGGCTCTTCCTCAAGTCAACACCAGATAAATAGAGAAATTCTCAACTCTCAACTCAACTGTATTTATAGAGCACTTTCAAACAGCCATCGCTGCATACAAAGTGCTGTCCACGGAGAAACGCACATATATACAACAATAAAGCAATAAATCAGTAACAAAGATGGTAGAAAGCACCAAACAGTAAAACTAAGATGAAATCTAAATATATGGATCGATAGACTTATGTACATAGACAAACAAACAAACATTCAAGTCAAGAACATGTTGAACGCTACTGTATAAGGAAAGCCCAAATTTCGAACTGTCCCTGAAAGCAGCACCTGATGATAAATAAGCAGGCGTGCAGGTAAGCGGTCAGAGAGACAGTTGGACAGATGGATCAACACAGATTTGGCTCAATTGAGACATTAAAGGGAATTCAACTGGTTTGTCAGGCTTTTTTGTTGCTGTTTTTTGTGTCTTACTAAAAAAAAAAAAAAAAAAAAACACGGCAGGCCTATTGCGCCACACTGCTTCTGAATTGGGTTTTGAAATAACCCACAAAACAGAAGTTACCATGTGCTTCCACGAACGTGCTCAGACTCGTCAGTAGCATTCACAAGGCAGCAGACCAAAGTGCGCTGGGAGGCCATTTTTTTTTCTTTGACAGTGACAGGCGTTTTCACTTACCTTATCGTGTCTTTTATCTTGGCACACAAAGCTTATCAGTCGGGAACAAAAGTTAAAAAGCCATAAAACTGGTGTTTGTCTTTCACCTTGTGGTTGCAGACATGTCCCACTCAAATCACACCTGCATCAAAATGGATGAGGAGATGCCACTCAAAACGGTGCCGGGCTCCGTGGACCCGCAGAAGGGCCTCACGACCACGGCGGCGAAGAAGCGCGGCCTCGGCGCGGCGGCGTGCTGCAACGACAAGCATCACCGGCGACTGGCCGTCTGCAGCATCATCTGCGGCATTTCCTGCATCGGAATAAAAGCGCTCATCAACTCGGTCAAGGTACATATACGCACACGAGGAGAATATTGGAAAATAAATGAGTCCGACAGGTGTCAAACTCAAGGCCCGGGGGCTAGATCCGGCCCACCACATTATTTCATGTGGCCCGCGAAGGTAAACATTTTGTGTTTCCAAGCACACTTTTAAAATAAATTGAATAGTTGAACAGTTGGTTTGATTTTAAAGACTAGTTAGCATTAATTTGGTGTTTGTATGTAATAATGCAAGGACCTCCAAAGGAAACGAAGACTCTGAGGTGGTCATTCTATAAATGATGCTTGATAAAAATCCACAAGCTTTGATAGGTCAAACTTAAAAATATAAAAATATTTGAAAAACTCGAAGAAAAAAAAAATTTTTTTTTTCAATCAGCATAAAAAAAATACTGATATCTATGATTAAAAATAACTGGTGACCAGTCTTATTTTTTAAATCTAACAGGAAAAAAAAAAGTTGAAGACTGGTTTAAAAATGTATACGTATTAGTGTAAATGATGTGTGAAAATATTTGATAATCATAAAAACAAATGACTGTATTCTGTGGCTCATTTTTTATTTTTATGATAATTTCTTCAAATAGGTTTTTTTTCAGTGTACTTACTGTAATGCAAAAGGGGAGGGCGGAAGGGTAGTCATCTCTTGACCGACGGGTCTTTTTTTCTCTCCCCGACAGGCCGAGACGGAGCCGGACCCAACGGCATCCATCAGGTTTTCGCGCCGCGCCAAAAAGCTGGCCATTCTCTCCATTGTCATGTGGCTCGCCTTGCTGGCCCTGGCGCCAATGCTCATGGCGCTCTTCTCGTACGTGGTCACGCTGCAAGACTGAGTGGGCGGCAACAAACGCGTGACTCCTACAGATGATGATATTTATTTATTTCCCATTGCAAAGACATTTGTAAATCTACGCGTATAAAACCAAGTACACAACATTTATACATGACAAATCCTCAACGTGTTCATATTCAGTACCCAACTTGTAGAAAAAGTTAATAAATTAGCCGCCACTATTCACAAAACAAGTCGCGTTTTTGTGTTCTTATTTTGATGCCTGTTGTGCATTTTATACTGTTATTGTAATAAATGCTCTGAAAAAAAAAAACAAACTTGGACTCTTGTATACAAAAGAAACAGCAAGGATGGGTTTAAGGCTGCCTCGTTCAGGGGGGGCAACAAAAACAACGCACGCACAAACGAACAACAGCAACACGAGACTAAAGTTGCACCGTAATAAATAAGAGCTGCCATAACTGTCGTCCTCTTGTAACCATAGCAACTTGAGTGCTACGGCGTCGCGTTCGGGGAACCCGACAAAGTCAAGACGCGGCATCCAACTGGTCGCCGATAAGCCACAAGTCGAGCTGCTTCAGCTTGGCGCACAGAAGCGAGTCGGCGTCGGGCGGCGGCAGGAGGGACGGGCCGGCGTCATCCCTGGCGAAGCCCCCCCGTCTTGTGCGGGATGACGCTGCGCCTGCCTTGCTGCCGCCCGCCGCTACCTTCTTGGGCTTCCGGGCCTCGCCCACCTCGTGGAACTCCACGAAGCGCTTGAGGCGGCGCTGGCCGAAGCGGGACTCGGAGCCGTCGCGGCGGCTGAGCGGCACCTCGAAGACGGTCTCTAGCCGGCTGAAGCACAAAAGAGCCCGTCGGCGGTTAAACCAAGCTGTCGTTGCTACTTTATACCACAGGGGTCAAACTCAAGGCCCGGGGGCCAGATCTGGCACGCCACCTCATTTTTTTGTGGCCCGCCAAAGCAAATCAAACATGTGAACTTCCATGATGCTAGCTAAAATCTGTACCAAAATATCAAATTCTGATCTGTATTAAATAAGAAGGATATTGTAAGCATTTTCTTGTAACCAAACCCGTCCTGACAGTAACATAAACAAAAGTGGAGTGAACCATTATTCTTGACTTCTTTATATGGTTTCAGTCATAACGGCCCTCCAAGGGAAACGGTAACTAAAATGTGGCCCACGACAAAAATTTGTTTGACACCCCTGCTTCATACAATACCAAGATTGAACATTCATTGTCTTAGTGGTGTGAGTGTGAGCTCACCTTTCAGGGGGTTTGCTAAAGTTTTTATTGGTGTAAATTTCCTCCAAGCTGAACTGCTTTTTCTTCAGCCTGTCCAAAACAAAAAAAAAAAAACAAAACAAACAAACTCATCACATCCCACATCCCATCGTCCCACAATGCATTGCGTACCCACCTGATGGCTTTGGGGAGGCCCATGGGCGTGAGGTTGTTCTGAGGTTTGGGCAGCGCCCTGCGGATGCGGATGGATGACACCTTGCCGGGATTCTCCTGTTTCGGTGCCTCCTGCGAGGACGACGGCACGTGTGTTCATTCGCTGCGCCACGACGCCCGGAATCAAGATGGCGGACGCGCCTACCTTGAGCTCAGAGTCGGACAGAGATTTTTCTTCTCTTTGTGCCACCGTGGCTTCATCCAACTTGTGACCGGAGGACTCCGTGTCCTCGTCCTCTTCCGCCTTGCCGGGCGTCCTGTTGTCACTTCCACCGGCCAACGCACTGACGCTGTTGAATAGTAATTATCATAGAATTGTACAAAACAGAATTCATATCACAGATTTTATTGTTTTTAAATGAATTCACTGAATTACCTTATTTCCCATTCCAAGTTATTAATTAATTGTATATACTATTTCAAAGTTTCTTTGTATTTGACAAAAAAATGAACAATATTAAGATATTATTGAATAGAAACACTTTGTATCAAATACACTTTATTCATCAAGTTTTACTTCTATAATTTTATTGATTTATCGACTTTTTTTAAAAACATTCTTGCACATAATTGTTTGATCTAATCATTCGTTATTTTTATTTCAAAAAGTTTGGACTACTACACTGCTGTTAGGCAAATTAGGATTTTATTGATTTAGAACATTATGCATAATATTTGATCACTGATAGTCATCAACATTTATGTTTCATGTAAGTATTGTATTTCATTTAAAAATGATACTTAGAAATGTCAATTAACACCTCCCTTTGTAACTTAAATTTTTTTTAAGTTGCCCAAAAAAAAAAAAAAAGGGTTTCGGTAATGGTCATTCAATTGATCAAATGAATAAATGTAATTATTTAAATTTCCTTTTGAACAGTTACCTTAATGGGTGGGATATGGGAAGAAATAGAAGTTTACCTGGCGCAGGCCTCAAAGGCGCCAAGTAAGGAGTCTGTTTTCGGCGAAGAAGCAGACACAGAGGCAGCTTGGCTTGACGCTGTGATGCCGGCGGTCACCTCTTTGCCTTCGCCTCCCCCCGACAGGAAGGCCAGGGGGCTGTACAGGAAGCGGGACGCCAGCGCCGACAGTGACCAGCTGGGCAGGAGGGCGGGCGGCAGGTTCTGCCCGTCGCAGGGGAAGGAGCGCCTGGACGGGTACACTTCCTTGCGCAGGCACAGCGGAGCGATCTCTCGCTCCACCTCCCCGCAGCTCACCGTGTGGCGGCGGGTGCGTCGCGAGCCCGCCGGGTCGTGCGCCGGGACCAAAGTGAGCGGCGGCTGGCGAGGAAGCGAGGCAAAAAGCGAAGGGATATCCGGGCACGAGTATCTGCGCAACAGGTGGCCGGCCAACCCGCTTTGGGTGGTAGGCGTCGGGAGGTCCTTCGCGGTGGCCGAGGGCGTCGCGTTGTGCGCGTGGGTTCGACTGAAGCGAGACTTCCTGGACCGGGGATCCCCTCGGGGCTGCTTCCCGTTAACTTTTACGTTGCGTAACCTGGAAGCAGTGGCATCCTGATCGCCGCCTCGATTTGGGTTGCTACATTCTAATGGCTTCCCTTCAAAAGGAGTCATTTCAAAGTAAAACGGTTCTGTGGACATTTGAGCTTGAGGCTTTTCGGTTTGCGCTTGTAGCTCACCTCGGGGAGCCTTTGCGGGTCTCTTTATTGGTCTTCCCCGTCCCACGTTGGGGGCACCCTCGCTTCGAGCTGCCAGCTCGGCGGGCGCCGGCAGGTGGACAGAAGAGGGCGGCTCCGTCGGCTCCACCGACTTGCACTTCACTGTCTTCCCGCTGGCGTCATCGTGCTCGTCTCTGAGCAATTTCCGCTTGACGTTGCGGCACTTGGCGGCACGTTTGAGCGCTTCGTGGCCGTCCGAAAGTGCGGATGGCACTTTCTGTTTGAGTGGCGGGGGTTCGGCTCCATTTTTAGTTTCCGACTTCAGTCTTTTCCTCTCCGTTCGGACTCTAGTGCTGAGCGTCCTTTTGGAGCGCACGAAACCCGAGTTCGTTTCATGGCGAGTGCCGTCCACGTGGTTCGTTTCATGACGGCTGACATCGGCAGAGACGTAGTGAAGATGATCCAGCTGGACGTGGCAGGAATACAAGGGCGGACTTTTTTCCACATTGAGGTTTCTTGGGCGGGTTTTCAGCCGCGTTGACACTTTGGCCTTCTCAATAATGTCGGCTGTCTTTACGGTGGGTTCCTGTAGGAGTGGGAGCTCCTGGTTTGCTGGAAAAGGCACTTGTATTTCGTCAGGCGACGTGCTAAACAGTCTCCGAGAATGGCAAGAGTCACTTCCAGGTTGTAGCACCAACGTGAACGAGCTCTCCTTTGCTTCCCGCGAGCCAGTTTCCGGTGGCTCGCGGTGAGCTTCCGAAGACTTGCCGGTCTTGTCCGGTTGAACTTCAGGAGTCGAAAGGTTTTTATCCTGAAAGAGCTTCACGGGACTCATCACTATTTCCGTGAAGCTGGCCATCTTGGACTTCAAGGACTGGAACAGGGGGCCCATCAGCCACCCAGCGGGGGCAGAGCCACTCACATCCGCGGCACGGCTCAGCGCCTGGCATGCTGTCGTCCGATCCAAACTCTCCAGCGGACCCTCGCCTTGGTCCTCTGCAAAGTCCTTTTCCCTTGAATAAAAGGACAGAAAAGGCGAGACGTGAGACGCGGGAGGGACGCGAGCAGAGAAGATGGCCACCGGCTGATCGCACTTACGTATTTTGGAACTCGGCTGCGGTGTTAAAATCACAGCCATCCTACGATATAAATACAGTTAATTGAAGATGTAGCGACGAGTAGACGACACAGTCATTTTCATTCTTTTCTATTACGCGTGATTAAAAGAGCCTTACTAATGTTCGGATGTTGGTATATGGTTGCTTACTGTCTGCTGGCTGTACCCCGACACTCCTTTGAGATGACTGTTCACATTATGTTGCGTTTACACGTTATGTTTACGTGGATAGATATGCACCGTCAAAATGCTTTCTTTTTTTTTTTTTCTCCCTAAAGTTGTTGTTGTATTTCCTGTTGAGGATGAAAATAACTTGAAAATACTTTGGAAAAAATACAAATCTTAATTGGAGACAAATGTTTATAATATTTTTTCATTGATTTTACGATTGGAAAATTTAGGCAAATACATTTTTGCGGCGATTAAAAGAGGCTTGAGACTTTTTTTTTTTTTTTTTAAAGTCAAGAGGGAAAAAAAACCAGCTCAAACTGACTTGCTGCTGCTTCTCTTCTTCAAATGTGCTTTCAACTCTTGGCTGCTTGGACTGAGACAGTTGCACCTAAAAAACAAATACAGCGAGATTAATAAATGATATCATCAGATAATGCACACACATAAGACACACACACACAGACACAAAGTGTATAATGTGGCACCATATCGTTGGCGTGTCTCTTGAACGAGGACGGATTGCACGTGGACGGCGTCTCCACAATCTCTTCCACCTGAGCGGCCTGAGCTTTGATTGCTTGTATGCGACCGCTCCTCCTGCGGTCTGACGTTCCATCGCTCGCTCTGCCCAGAGGGATTCAGAGGTAAAGAAAGCGTGGCACACTTGAAATGATGGCGTGTTGTCAGTCAAAGTGCAGGCGGAAACAAAAGAAAAAGTGCACGGTAAAAACAAAAAGTGTTCAAATTCAAACATGTAAAGCTGAGGTTACACTGTAACTCTAAGAGCCTAATTTCCATTTATAAAACTTCTATGTACTTCATGGTGCTACAAGTTCACTTCCTTCCATAACGGCTCATATCTTTAGAGACTCATAAACTGAGGCACTTCTAAGTCAAGGTACCGGTGTATATAAATTAATTTGACCATGTAGAAAAAACTGGGGGGTAGCTGTGAGTGGTGACTATACCTGGGAGTGATGGAAGGAAGGGGGAGGAGAGGAGGAGGAGGTGATGGTGGTGGTGGTGGTGGTGAAGGCTCATTGTGGGGGGGTGCACTACAAAAGGGGTCGGGGGAAATTGCATCACCATCCATGGGGAAAACAAGGTGGGTGAGCGAGTTGGAGGGGAGTGTCAACATGGCCAGTCTCTCTCTCTCTCTCTTGATCCTCTACAAACAACAACAACAATAACACGTCACCATCACTGCAGGGCCACTTGTTCAGATTTTTAACAAGCTTCACTTTCATTTCTTACACAGCACGAGCAAATGGGTCACTGTGTTTCATGTGTTTAGAGAAAACTTGGATGACTTTAGCCTATCTTCTCAGTCGCTCTGCCATGTCAAATCAGGAGTATTTGACATTCTGTTTACAGGAGGAAAACTCCTACCACTTGGATGGATGCCTTATGACTTTCTGATCAAAGCTTGTAGCGAAGTAATGGAATTCAGTTGCCCAAATTTGCGCTTAAGTTTACTTGATACATTTCGATTTATATTGATGTGATTAATACTGACTGGTAAATGCTATTTAGGATTATTATCATTCAAGGGCTGGTTCGTGGGTGGTTATTTTTATGTCCTGATTGAAGCGAGTAGTCACGGTATTGGATCATGATGGTAAAAATGTCTTGTTTTGAAGCCAAAGTTAATTGTTCTAAGGTAGGACCATTTTGCAATAAATCATTCCCAAATTGGGGCTTGGGAGTTACAACAGTTAACAGGCCCATTCGAAATTTCTACGGATTTAAAAAAACAAAATATTTTCAAGTTATCGTTTCAGCGTGACGTCACTTATTTCTAGGACACTCACTGGACCAACCCAATGGAAATGGAAAAACATGAAACGAGGAAGTTTTGTCACACGTAAGACAATCACGGCGGTATTAACACATTGTTGGGAAACAAATTGGACTGTAAGGCATTTTGTTTGAATGTAGTATTTTGAAAAAGGAAGATGTGTCACGCAGCGGAGGGAAGAGAGTGTCGTCTATTTGCTGGAATGGACCCGTGTCAAGGGGTAACTTTGACGCGAGCGAGCCTGACGTACTCGCGGGTCTTCGTCCTACGTCTAGCGCGGACGGGCGTTTTCAGAGACGCATGCCCCAGACGCTTCAAACCGAGTAGAGTGTGCTGTTTTTGGCAGTAAATCTCCTCCTCCGCTGGATTACATTGTCGCAGTCTTTCCGCCAGAATATAGCCGTATCCGGGAGGGGTCGGCGTGCATCTGTTTACCCCCTGCAAGGAAGCGTCGCCCCTTCTTTGGTTCGCGCACGGTGAGAAGAAGACGTAATTTTAAAAAGAAACAAAATCTTACCAGAAAGGTCAAATTGGATCACGGCGGACAACGTTTACGTCCACACAGTAAACGAGACACGCCGGACAGCGGCCGACAGCTACAGCAGAGTGGTGCGGGTTTTTTTTTTCTAAACCCAAACAGACACCCGGTTTAGCCAATCACAGTCAAGCTTGTTGGTCGGCCATCGAGCGCCGTTTTTACAAATGGCCAATAGGAGAAGGTCTTGAAACATCACTTCGGGGTGGTGACCAATCAAGGAAGCGATGTGACATTATTGAAAATGAGTATTCGAGCTGTATTTCTCGGATACAACGAAAATAACAAATTGTAACGCAATTCTATTTTATTTAATTTACAGTAGACACATTTGCACAGCAATAATCTATTGCTCCCTAATAACACACACACACACACACACACACACACACACACACAGAAAATTCAAAGGTGTGGATGTGTGATCAAAAGTAATGTTGCTGTATTGTACGAAAAAGACCACAGAGCAGCTTTGTGTGTTCATCCCATTGACGAGCTCTCTCGTTTATTGTTATGTCCAAGTAATAAACATCAATACAATACTTGGGCAAATTATTTTAAAACAATGTGGACACAAGCAAAGACGATGGAGCACTGCACGGGATGAGGTGATCACGTGTAGAGCTCGAAGTCAAGTCTCTTGGAGTTGTAGAATTGCGAGCCGTCCTGGTCCAAGCGCCTGCAGTACACGCCGCTGCTGAAGTAGCCTTCGTCCACCCAGTCCTGACCACACAACCAGATCATTAGTGGCGTGCGGGGACAAGCAACAGAGCAAACGTGGCATCTTGAAAGCTGATTGAGACAGTGGAGCTTAAAGAGAAAGTGTGAGGCTCATTCCAGACCAAACGTTGCTGCGATAAACACATCCCTAAAACTAATCAAAAATGTGCAATCTCCTTGTTCATTCGAGAGATTGTTTACGGGCTTTTAACCCACATGACGGCCGAACTAGCAATGGGTCCAAGTGGTCTACCTGCATCTGCTGACTGGTGAAGGGTCCGTAGACCTCCGACTTGTCTTCATTGTCCCACTTGTACTCCCACATGACTTCCTCGCTCACTGCCAAGAAACAACGCAAGATTTCATGACAGCTGGACACAGGAGTGAAAAAGTGAGCAAGCGGCAAACCTCTCTTGTCCTCCTCCTCTTCAGCCCTGGCGCCGTGCTTCTCGTCAAATTTCTCCCCGAACATGTCCAGTTCATCTTCGTCCTCCTCCTTTGACGTTGACGCGGGTCGCTTACTGCTCATGCTCTTGAGCGTGTAGGCCAGCTTCTCCTGGGTCTGCTGGTAGATGCTGTACATGCCAGACGCCACCAGCCTGTCAGCGAGAGACGTGAGGCGGTCCAGCTTCTCCGTGTCCCGCTTGTTCTCGGCCACGTTGTCGCCAGTGTCCCGCAATTTGCCCCTCTTCTTCCCGCCGAGGCCTCCGAGCCGCCGTAGCGCCGCCGAGACTGTCTCCCCCGGCAACAAGAGTTCCACCAGGGCTTCTGTGAGCTGCTTCTGCGTGAGGGAGGCCAAGGGGTCCTCGGCGGGCTCGGCTTCCTCGGCGTCGTCCTCCTCATCGTCTTCGCCACCTTCCTTGTTTTCCTGCTGCTCCTCCCGCTTCTTCTCCTCCTCTGCTTCATCTTCATCACCTGCTCTGCGCTTGCGTTTGGCTCCGAGTCCTTTCTTCTTTTGTTTGAACGGTTGCTCTTTAATCCTCACCTTGAAAATAAGCACAATTATGAGTCCCTTAAATTGTTCTATTTTTTAACTTGTACCATGTGACACCCAGGGGGACTAGCTCAGAGTCATTAGGGGCCAACATGAAAGATTTTACTGGAACCCACACATTTTTTGCATTTGCAAATTTTCATATTCGTGAATTAATTTTGGAACATATCCTACCACTTTCACTGGGGGGAAAAAAAGCAATAAAACTATTACTTTGATGCCATTAGGTGGAATACTGGTCTTGATGCTGGGTTTAACTCGGGGTCGGTCTCTATAAAAGGATCCTGAGAACAGTTACCCAGTCGATGTTGTCAAGCCAATTGTCTCGGATCAGCTCCTCCTTTTTGACAAAATAGTTCCCCTCTGAGTCAAAGTGTCCCTCCTGCATCTCCTCCTCCAGGTTGAAGGGGGTGATGGAAACGCCCTCGTCGTAATCAATGGTAGCGTTTTCTTGGCCTGATGAAACACAATCGGCATCAAGTACACAATTGATGGAACGGAAGCAAACCAAAGACAATCCTGCAGCTTGTGGACAACACAAGAGACTCACCATCCACGTCGTCACTGGCTAAAATGTCATATTTGTTGCTCTGGGTGTCCTCCCCATCGTCCTCCTCGTCACTGTCGAGGGAGTGCTTGCCCTTGAACCTGGAGCCCGGGCCGCTTGACACCTCAAGTGTCGGCTTAAGGACACACAAAAAGTTAACATTTAAATGCTTATTTTGTCTTCAAGAACTTCTCAACGCAATAAAGGAAGCGTATTAGGAATTCTCTTGCTCTTCATATCAGAGTTAGTCATAAGAAGCCAACACTCACTTAAAGAGGCTGAGGACCTCGATGTGGGCGTGGTTATTCTAATGAGCGTCATTGTTTGGCAACAGTGGTGCCCAAGTACAACAACAACAACTTGCTCATGGACATGTTTTTAAAAAATAGGTCGGGTAGGCAGGCACTCGAGACACACAACAATAGTATTTGTATACGAAGAGTAAGAAGTCCATTTTCCATATGTGCCTTTCAAGACAAATTTACTCCAGTGAGTGAACATGTTCTAAAGTGAAATTTCAGAAATCAAACAAACAGGAACATATGCAATGAGAATCCATTAAGAAATGTCATGTTTTAGTGTAGAGAAAGTTGGCAGACGCACCTTCTTGTTTGGGACCTCATCGTCCAACCCCACACTGTCACCATCCGCAAAAGTGACTTTTCTTTTGGACATGGTGCTTAAAAAAAGCCACACGCGGAGACTTGTTATGCACAAAAACACAAGAGCAGGAGGTATAAAGGGAGAAAAGTGTGTGAATAACGGCACAGCAATCACGTGAGCGCTGTTGCTAACATGTTAGCTTGTAGCAGCAGGCGACACATGCACGAATGTAAAGCATTGGCAACTAATTTGCGCTAAAATGAAGCGCTGTTTAATCGGGGAGGCAAACACAATGGTCGCGTGATGAAAGCGTCAGTTTATATCCTTAACAAAGTAATATAAACCAAAAATAGCTCAGAAATGTAACCTGATAACAATTTAAACGACGTTTGTGCTGCTCTGTTCTTCGATGGTTTCTTTATCTTCTACTGCGCAGAAGTTGGCTCTGCTAAGTCAGTAGCGCCACCACTTGTTACGGAGGATGAACTGTTTGTCAAAAATTTCTAAAATCCATTTTTCTTTATACTGCTTGTGTTGGTGACTGTTATAAACGAACAAGAATGACTAGATAAGATTACTTTTGTCGATGCAATGACAAAAAGTAGACACAATGAGTCATCTTGATCTTTACATCAGTCTTCCTCACACGAGACTCTTTCAGAATGTGAAATTCCCTGAGGTCCAGCGGGATAAAAGGGATCAGTGCTCGTCAAGAATAGACGCAAAAAGGCCAAGAAACAGGGGGTGGTGGGGTGGTGGGTGGTTGTTGTTGGTGATGGTATGGGGTGGTCAAGCAAGATAAAACCCACCTGATCCTCATATGACAAGGGAAAGGCCTTCAGCACTGATAAAAATAAGTCACTCAGAATATAGAGGCTTTAGGATAATTAAAATTGTCATAATTGAGGATTTGACAGTTGGTGGTGCAGCACATGACATATTGGAGTAAGTCACAAGTGACACAGAATGCAGAAGCGGTCAAGCATCACTTCCAGGTGACGCTCTTTTGCTCGGCGACTAAACAACCGAGCGTCTCGATGGCATCGTAGAGAACACAATGTGTGTCTGGATTCTGTTACCAGGAAGTGGGTCGGGTTATTTATATTTCACCACTCGTCCTCGACACCAGTGCTCAGAGGAAGTAACCTGAAACTTTGAAATTCAAACATTTTTAGACGGCCTGTGACTCGCTCTGAGGAAAGAAGAGGAGTAATAAGAAAAGACGTTGATGTGCCAAAAAAAAAAGAAAGAAAAAGAAAAGGAAAAAAAGCTACATTTAATGAGTCTGCGAAAGTGACCCCGCTACTCAGCATTGGCAGAGGTGAGTGAATTTTGTCACTATTGTCTGCTATACATAAAACCCCAAGACGGTGTTAGATTGGAGGATTAGGGTATGATTGGGTTTGGCGTTCAGATTAAGGTTGGAGGTTAGAGTGCTTGTCAATATGAAGCGTCTTCTTTTCCTTTCAGTGTTGTTATGAAGCTCCACAAGAAGATTTTGACTCATTACCAATCCTGCACATCACCGGTGGATAAGGAAGGATATCTGTCCAAAAAGGTTACGAACCCAAAATACAAAAGTCAGCTAAATACTCTGCAAAACCTCAAATTATCCAATCGTCCTTGCAGAAACAGCGAAATGGTTCCTACCATCGGCGCTGGTCCGTCCTGAAAGCCAACCTGCTCTTCTACCAGGAGCGGCCCGCAGACCGCCATCTGCTCGGCGTGATCGTGTTGGAGGGATGTGATGTACGGCGGGCAGACGCCGACGGACGCTTCGGCTTCTGTTTGCTCTTTCAGGGGCCCGAACCAAAGAGCTACCAGTTTGCCGCAGGGGACGAGGTTACTCTGGAGAGCTGGTTGCGGGCTTTGCGATCCGCCAGCCACAGCTACTTGTCGCTGCTGCTACAAAACCTGCATATCCAATATCAAGGTAACAAGCTCACATAAGATGGTGGGGGGGGGAGCTGATAAGTGAGACCATAATGTATGCCTACGATGTATTCACAATCGGAACAGAAGATGGCTCATGGGCTCATCTGTCTCGTGACTCCATCTTTTGTTTTGCAGAAGTCAAGCAACATCAAGGCTCCGGTGACTCCTCCCCCAGCAACTTGAACCTCGGACCAGCACCATCACCACCGCCACCATCATCATCATCAGGTTTATGGTCGTCATCAGTAATCATCAAAAAGTCACCCAAGCCGTGGCACAAGTGGAACACTCATGTCACACCCTTGAATGTGCCGACGGTGCCGTCATACGCCGAGTGGCCCCTGGTGGGTTCCAATCCGCAGGAGGAGTTCCGCGTGCTGCACGAGCTTTACGGGCAAGAGATTAAGAAGGCTCGTGAGCGGTGGCTGACCAGTCGGCAGCCACCGGAAGAGAACATCCAAGAAGATCTTATCGACCTGACGTGAAGAAAGAATGATTCTTTAGGAGGAAGTGAGATGATAAAAGGTCAAACAGATCATTGGTATATCATAAAAAACATTGAAATGGTTACGGTTAATAAAGAAATAATAATACCTTCTAACTTATTTTATTCTGTTGTTTACACTTAATTTAATTACAGTGAATTACCCTCTCACCACCACCACGCCACTCACATTCACAATCTCCGAATTTGACATATCTGTAGCAGACGATAAATATACGATCATTACCTCTTCAGAGTAGTCCATCTCTTTCCCTGGTTGTCCTTGTAAAAAGAATATTGATGTTGGTGATTCGCACGAGGTGGGAGTTTCCACCACAGGGAGCCACAGAATTGACTCCAACTTCAAATATTATTGGCTGTCTGTCAGCGGTGATTTTCAACCAAAAGAGGGCGCTGCAGTCAAGATAAAGAGCTTGTCACCTGGTCCAAAAAGATTTTTAAACATACAGCACATTACAATAATATAGGATATTTCAAACGTATACAGCGTTCACATCTCAACATTAACCCCCTACCTCGCAAAAAAATAAAATAAAAATTAAAACGTGCACGCACACACACACACGCACACACACACGCACACACACACACACACACACACATAGGAGTGGGTAAGGATAAACAAACGAGCCCAGATTGTGAGTGGCTAAGAGGTGAACCGACGCAGCAGGTGGAAAAAGATCAGTGGAAATATAAACAGCCAATAATAGCGTCGGGCGACGGGTGGTTGGTTAATGAAATGAAACTTGGATTAGTGGCGGGTAAATTTGGATGCAAAAACACCAACACTGGAAAGACTTTTGCTAGTGAGGGAGGGTTCAACCCTCCCGCCCCCACCACCCATCCGCCAGTCCTCGCTACACTTTGGCAGAGACTCAAGTTTATTTTGCTATTTCAGTCACTCCCAGCTGTCCCCATTCTCCAGCGAACGTCTGCTGCCACCACCAGCGACGTGACAAGTATGTTTAGGCCGGGGAGGGGTCCGGGCCAGGGAACGAGGTGTGTGTGTGTGTGTGTGTGTGTGTGTGTGTGTGTGTGTGTTGTGGGGCGGTTGGGGTGGGCTGAACGAGTGGTGAGGGTCCCAATTGGCAAACAGGTGCAAAAATGCAAAGCGGCAAAGTCACACCTTTGCACAAAGAGATGCCAGGAAGAGATCACAGGTTAACGATGTGTTTAAGTGTCTGACACATTGTCGTTCATATTGACGCTACAATCGAGTCTCATGAATTTCAGTCTTGACTGGCGAAATAGCGACCTAGCCAGCTAGATAGGCGCGAGGGTAAGCGGCTCAAATAATGGATGGATGTTAACTGTTAAAGGTGGATTTCGTTCCCATTCTTGCTTGCTGTGTACCGCTTCGGCTGTTCAACAGTCTGGGGACTGCGTTGTCCTATTTTACGTTTCGTAGTGCGCCAGACAGGACTGGACTGCAGGCAGGGCAGTGAAATACCTGCACTCTTTTACTACGAAGCTGTGCTGCTTCACACCTGCAGAATGTGCTTTGGCATTGCCTTGCTGAAATAAACAGGGGAGTCCATGGAAAAAGACCTTGCTCAGACGGCAGCATATGTGTCTCACAGTGTCTTTACAGATGTGTAAGTTACTCACGCCATGGCCACTAACACAGCCCCTATCCCATCACAGATGCTGGCTTTTGAAATTTGCGTCCATACCAGTCCGGGTTGTTCTTTTCCTATTTGGCCAGGAGAACACAATTTCTATAGTTTCCAAAAACAATCTGAAATGTGAACTCGTCAGACCACAGAACACTTTACTCCTCTGTGTCAGTCCATGTTAAATGATCTCGGGCCCAGAGAAGCTCGCGGGGTGTTTCTCTGTGTAATTGATAAATGGGTTTTGCTGTGCATAGTTTTAAATTGCACTTACGGATAAAGCGCCGAACTGTATTTACGGACATTGGTTTTCTGAAGTGTTCCTGAGCCCATTTGGTGATATCGTCATTTTTTTTGATGCAGTGCCGCGTATGTGACATCATTGAGTGTGACATGATTCCGTCAATAGACACGGGAGCCGTGCACATACACGGTCAAGGCGACGTGGGTCGCATGCTCGCGTCCCACTCCCCGATATCCCATCGAGGACCCAAAAATAAAGGCGGCGAGTGTCGGCGTGGAACACAAGGAGGGAGCAGGGTGGAGGGGGGTGGGTGGCTCTGTCCTCCGATCCTCCGAGCATCCGTATCCTCAATGTCCTAATAAGTCCACGTGGGACGGAGGACCTGCCGCAAGCTCCCTCGGCTATCAGGTTGACTTAATTCCAAGACTCTGCGCGTCTATTTCGGCTCTCCTGTAAGCGGATACGCCGCCGCCGCCATTCTGTCTCCTTGGTTTTTGCCATCCGCTCGTCCCCTAAGCATCCTCCCCTCTCGCTCTCTTTTTTATCCCCCATCCAAACTTGAGGCTGTGGCTAAAGTTAGACGAGGAGACCCGGGGCTATATAAGCCCCCTGGAGGCGGGGGACCAACGCGGCTTCACCCTCTCCTCACTTTCTTCATCGTTCCAAACCTCCGCTCTCAGCGTCTCGAGATGGTGAGTAGCTGCCCCGCCGTCATGGATTCACTCTCCCTTTTCAGCCTGCATGATGGAATTCTTGCTTCTTTTTTGTTTGTTTTTTTCTCCGTGGTCATTGTAAACTTTGGAACAACAAGCGCACCCCTTTGAGAATGCAAAATGGAAGAGTAATGAGACAGAAGCGTGTAGGACCAAAGCAACCATGCAGGACCATACCTTTAAAATTCACATTTGAAGGTAGCCTAACTGAGGCTAAATTAATTGGTGTATGCAAGAAAGTATGAAAGTGAGTAGGAAAGCCAGTTTAAATAAAGTAAATAAAGAGTGTCGATAAGGAAAAATAATCAGAAGTAAGCAAGCAAGTCAGCTGGTAAGCAAAAGTAAGAAGACAAGTAGGTAAAGTATGAAACCATGAATCAAAGCAAAAGCAAATGTGAAAGTGTGCAAGTAAAAATCAGGAAACAAAAAAAATACATTAAGTAAGGAAGATTAAACAAGTGGTCTAGGCAAAAGTAAGAAGACAAGTCGGTAAAGTATGAAACCACGAATCAAAGCAAAGCAAATATGAAAGTGTGCAAGTAAAAATCAGGAAACAAGAAAAATACATTAAGTAAGGAAGATTAAACAAGTGGTTAAGTAAAAGTCAGATTATAGCTGGCAAAAGTAGGCATGCATACAAGTAAAGAGATGAGAACGTCAATACCGATATGTCAAAGTAAGTATAAGTAAGGAACAAATTGGTCAAGCGCAGTAAAAGTGGACGCAAGTGCATCAGGGAAAAAATACGTAAGTGAGTGAGCAAATATGAATAAGTATAAGGTAACTTCCCCTCCTATCCCGAATTTGCCCTGCAGCCACCCAAGAAACCCAAGAGGAGGCAGGCAGCCGGAGACAGCGGCTCCTCCAACGTCTTCTCCATGTTTGAGCAGAGTCAGATTCAGGAGTACAAGGAGGTGAGATTTCGCCGTTCACTCCACCCACCCGCTTACACTTCCATTTGGTCCGTAAAGCTGATTTGGAGTTGACTTAAACCCGGATCCACTGCAGTTGCCGTTTGACCCCCCCGACCCTTAAACAAGCATGTCGTTTGCGCTGAGATGAAATGTCCCGCACCTTGTTCCTGTTTTGGTGGGGGTTTAGCTTTCCACATGAACGCAAGATAGCACCAAAGATATCTTCCGTGTCCTTCATGTTTCTGTCAATTTGTCTCCTCGCAGGCCTTCACAATCATCGACCAGAACAGAGACGGCATCATTAGCAAAGATGATTTGAGGGACGTTCTGGCCTCTCTGGGTGAGTTTTTGGTGCTTTTTTTTTTAACCTGTTAATTTAAATGGCAGTTAATCACAAAAGGGTTTCACAGGGCCACAGTTCACAAAAATCAAATCAATTCCCTGGTCTAGACTTCCATCCAAGAAGGAAAACCTTAAAAGGAAAACAAATGGAGGGATTCTCCTTCCAGGATCACCAGGCTGCAATAGATGCCAAGCGGTCAACATTCATCACATGGATAGGATGCTATACAACATAAGTTGAAACAGCATGAAAGTCTATTTAAGTAGACACCTTCGGGGAAGCGGGTGCCCTCAGGACTTGTCCCTGAGATCCCCAAGACACTCGCCGAACACTAGGTGTGGTTTAACCAAATCCATGTGTGTAGGAATAAGGCAAAAAAAAAAAAATAAAATAATGATCTAATTTCCTTCACAGGCGCTGACCCCGAGGACGTCATTCTTAGCGCCTTCAAGGTCCTGGACCCCGAGGGTAAAGGATCCATCAAGAAGCAGTTGTAAGTTCCAACTTTCACTGTACATACTTTCACCCTATCAAAAACAACAAACCACTTGATAAGACACAGTGTGCATATTTGTCTATTTTCTAAATATCTACTTTTGAGGTTGCTTCTGAGTTGCAAAAAAAAAAAAAGGCAAAGAAAAAGCAAAACACATTCCAGGCTCAATTAGCAACTTTTCTTTTATGTAGATTGTGGTGCTGTTACTCATCTATATTGCAGTGACTGTAATTGAGAATATTTATCTTGTGATTGATTTACTCATTTTCTGCCCTTAGCCTCGAGGAGCTCCTGACCACTCAGTGCGACAGGTTCTCCAAGGAGGAGGTAAAACCGGCTGACTCAGCTTTTTATTTGCAGTAATTGGTGAGGTGTTAGCAATTGCCGCGTGTTCAAAACACATATTCTCACCAGGTTTTGATTTTATTTTATTCAAAAAATTACCAGTCTAAGCCTGTGTCAGGAATGAGCCTGTTCCACGTAAAAACCTTTCGAGTAGAGGTTGTAGTACACACACCAGCCTGTGGGTGTGTGGGTGGCGCTAATCTCACCATTTTCGCATTCCGTTAAAATAAAGTTCATTGTACTTGGGCCAAGAAAATTACTGTGTTTAAATCGTCCTGATGATGTTATTAGTAATTATACTATCACATATATCAATAAGACCGATAACAAAACAAACATCTGGTGGACTGGGGACAAAATCTAGCTTTGTTTGTGGGTTAAAAACCTAAAGTTAGAGTCTTAAGGTCTGTAACTTTAGGTTACTGTCAAGTCTAAATCTTTAAAAACAATCCCGAGACAACATAAGAGAAAATCATTTTGTTTGTTGATAACTCGACATGGCATATTGTTAAGACACAAGCTCCCAGGGATGAAGAAATCGATTTAATTTAGCTAGCCGATTTATTTGACATCCAACTCTTCCACTAGCATCCCCTGACTTCTTGTTTCGCTCCCCTCAGATCAAGAACATGTGGGCCGCCTTCCCCCCTGACGTCGCGGGCAACGTGGATTACAAGAACATCTGCTACGTCATCACACACGGAGAGGAGAAGGAGGAGTAAGAAGACAGGAAGAAAGACGACAAATCCCTTCGCTTTATCCTGCCTTTCCCCTCTCTCCTTCTTCCCTGCCTCCCTCCCTCCATCCATCCTACCCTCCGTGTGTACCCGTGGGGTCACGCCCCTGCCCTATCCCCCTTTCTCTCATCCAAAGCAGAGACTTGTGGGGGCTCACGGGATGTCTGTGTCGGCTTATGGGGGTACAGGAGATGATTTTCAATAAAACATGACATCATCTTTTACATACGCCACCCATCTTCTTTCCACGCGTCCTCTCGAGACCACCTGGGGGAGGGGGGTCCTCATTCCCATTCCGAAGAGGTCCTCTGGGGCTGGAAGGGATGAAACACAGAAGGGGGATGAGGGACGTCGCCGAAAGAAAACATTAATGTCTTCGGCGACGTTTCCTCCTCTGCCTTGACATCGGCGTGGTCGTCAGCCTCCTCTTCCTCCGTAAACTGGTCCACAACGTCCCGACTCATCCTTGCCTATCCTCTGTACTGAATAAAAAAAGGGACAAACTGTGAATAAAACCTCTTTCCTTTTGTACAAGACTGTCTGTGCTCAGTGGCTCTCTGTGAGTGGACGGGGGGTGTAATTGGAGGAGAGTAGTCTTCAATCTTGTGATTAGTATTTACTTATTCACCATTTTAAAGATTGAGAATTTAAGGGTAAGCTTGACTTGAAACTGAAAGACAAATGGCACAAATAAAAACACAGCCAATACCCCCCCGAAAAAAAAAGTTGTACTATAAATATTTTTCACCGATTTAGTCGTAACCGATCGGACGATCTGCAAATCCCTGACGCAATGCAAGTTTGGCGACACCAAGTGGAGCAGCGTGTAACGGCATGTAACGACAAGACAGGCTATTTCGACAAACGACAGGAATATTTTGTGATTTCAGCACCACCCCTGGTGGTCTGAATGGACGTCATAAAACCCAGTTATTGCAGCAATTTTGGATACATGAAAAGAAAATTAAGCTGTCAAGAAAACGCGCACAAGGAAAATAAGAGGAACAACTAGATAAACAACCGGCAACGCAAGGCTAATTTAATATATTATGGTTTATTACTCATCACAAATGTCATCATTATCATCAATTAAATACATCACGTCGATGTGAGGGAATGAATTCAATTAGCTAGAACATCATCGATTAATTCACTTTCACAAGAGAGTGTGAAAGTGACTTGTAAACACAAAAACACACTTAAAAAAAAAAAAAAAACAGCCTGTAAATTTTGCAGCGGTTTAACACGTTTTCCAGATCAGAAATGCACAAAGGACCCGACAGAAATGCACTTCTTTTAGAGTTCACACCAGATAATCATGACATATTGCGACATTGACGTCTAGTTATAGTTTGCATAGAAACGTCCAGGTTAACCCTACGTGTGTGTGCGAGTGCTTGTGTGTGCGCGATTGGGAGTGTGTTAGCATGGGGGGGGGGGGGACACGTTGGATACACAAAAATCCTTCACGACAACAATAACAACAAGAGGAGGACAATGCTAAAGGAGTCAGTGTTGCTTGTCCTGCACCGATGGGCCGTTGTCATGGCAACAAGTTAAAGTCCAGAGTTACATTACACGAAGCAGGAAGTTAAGAGGTTCGACTCCCAAAATGTTCCAGAACTCGACGCAGATAAATGACGACGACGTGGAACAATCTTCCAGTCAACCAGGTATCCAATAACTCTCATTATAAAAAAAAAAACAAAAACAAAAAAATCATTATATACTATATTTGATTAAATTAACCACTTTATACATAGATACATCAAAAGGTGAGAGGTTAATGCTACATGGGCACACCAGGCACCTCACGCTCCAAAATATAAAAAAGGGGGAAACCTGCCTGGTAACAAGCATGACAGGAAATGTTTTTTTGTAACTAAGGGAAGTGCAAAGATCATCCTTCATCGTCTTCCGATCACATTCTGACATTTGGATTAAAAAAAAAATGCAGATTAGTTTTTAAGTAACACTCATTGGTCTAATTACTAAGCAGGAGGACGAGGTACACACTGACATGAAAAAGATAATTACACTATGAGAAAAAAAAAGTCTTTTTTGTCAAACAAAATATTTTTTTCAAGAATGATCCATATATTTGGAAAAAAAAAACAAAAAGTAAGATTTTCATTTTTTTTTCTTCTAAATCTTACTTTTTGTTTTTTTTTGTCATTTATCAATGGGCACTGACTTCCTTTCATGAAGACGGCACGGCTTCAATTCCCAGCCACTAACTTTCGCAAGTTTGGATAGTAAATAGATGGGGTGGGTCATTAAAAGCATCTGTGTGAAAACTAGCTAATCGTCTGAGTGACTTGCTTTGATGATGGAATAAGCCGGAAATGGCAACAAAAAGTCATATTTGCCATTCGTTCGTGAAATCATGACTAATCTTGAAAACCTGCACTCACTGTATTCTGACTTTCTCCAGAAAAAAAAACTTTATTCTCAGTGTACATTATTTTTGTATGCCGTGTGTCCCTAATCCTCCTAGGTGCACGTCCAACATTGCGGTTTAATGATGAATTTACTGATTAAAGACCTCCTTTAGGTGGAGGTGCTGAGGGCTAAACTACAAACCAGATCAAGAAGTGCAATTTTAAAAAGTCCCACTCGTTTGTTTTTAACAACACAAAAAGCACCACCACTTAGTTGGAATACTCTCCGTCGCCAGCAGGGGGAAACGCGCACACCGCAGTAACGCTACGCTACTAAAGGCACGCACCACAACATCCAATAAATAGCTCCCGGCACGTCACAGAAGTTTTTCTGGAGGCGACTCAATGTGATAATCACCATCCAATTAAACGTCTTTGGAGGCGGTGCTTTACTATTATTACTATGTACATCTTCTGTGGTTTGTCATGGTTAAAATAATAAAGTTATTAAAAAACAAAAAAGTGGCGCCACGTATGATCACATCCTCGCTTGTTGAACAGATGGACACCACCCCTTCCATGAAGTCCCATTTATTTGGCTTAATAGCATAATTGCCTAAATCATAACTTACTCTCGCAATAGAAACAAAAATATTCATGTGCTTGCTAAAATGTGTGTTTTGTCTTTTGTCCGTGTAGATTCGCAGTCATCCAGGTCAAAGTTTGAGTCGAGGCAACTTGAGTCTTAGAACGTTCAAAAATGACTTAGGCAATTGTGCTACTAGGCTCACATTTTTTTTCAATCTGTCATTGTGTCTTCAAAGGAAACCCAATTGTTTTTTTTTTTTTCTTACTCAGCCTCCTCCTTTTTCTTTTCATGCGCCAATGAGGTGGAATCCCTGGCCGCTGCGGCCGCCCCGTTTTTGTCATGGTCCGGTTCCGGACCCGCCAACCCTTTGTCCTTCTTCTTTCCCGCTTTCTTCTTCTCCTTCTCCAGACGCTCTTTCTCCTTCTTGAGTCTCTCCTTCTCCGCCTTGTCTTTCTCCTTCTTCTCCTTCAGCCTCTTCTTCTCATCCTCGCGGTCCTTCCTCTTGTCCTCCTTGCTCTTCTTCTTTTTGCGGCCATCTTCCTCCACGCGAGGCGGCGGCGTGGCTGGCGGGGACTCGACCATCCCCTCTTTGTTGGTGTCGGCATCTGGCATCAGTGGGGCGTTGTTGGCGGTGGGCGAGGGGATGGTGGGCGTGATTTGCTCCGAGACGATCCTCGGGGAGGGAGATATAGTGTTGGGCATCGGTGCACTTTGAGCGCCTCGTGGACCATTCCCCACGAGGGGGCTCTGGACTTGTGGCGCCCTCTGCGCCGCCCCAGGAGGAATGGGCGGCTTCTGGCTGCCGGCGGCTGGGGGCGACTGTGGCCGCGCGCCGTCATAAAATGAGGGCCCCGAGAAGGAGGTCTTCTTGCCGTGTGAGTGGAACGGTGTCCGAGACTTTCGGAAGCCCGGCAGCGAGAGCAAGGACGACGATGCCCGCAGGGGTCCCGGCGGCGGGATGGAGCTGGCCAAAAAGGAGAAGCTGCCGCCCGAGCTGATGGCAGCAGCGCGACGCTTGTGCTCGAAAATGGCTCGGGTGCCGTGTAGGCGGCGGCCAGGCTGGTGAGTCAGGTCCCCTCGGGACTCGCGCCATTTCCTCACCTGGACCGTGCACTCACGCTCGATCAGCGCCTCCGTCACCTGGAGAAGGATCACCTGGATGACGAGAGAGGGATACAAGCGCAAAGCAGGAGTCATGCAGGAGTCGAGAGAAAGAGAAGTGGACAAAAACAGTGGGTGTCTGATGTGCGTGCCTTGGCCACCAGGGAGCAGTATAATACAAAAAGACATACTAAAACAGACTAGAGAAGGGCCCATCACAGGCGGCAAGATTAGGATTCATTTTTGCAGAGCAGAAAGATAATACCTGGAAGTAGTGTAACATTGTCCGCGTTTCTTGCGATTATTTATTTTCAAATAAAGTTGTTTCAAGGTTTATAATGACCATGACATCAATGCTAAATTTGTTTCCCATTATATGTTAGCATTACGCAAGCAGACTTTCATTCGGTAAAGTTATGTTTAAAGTCAATTTGAGCCAAGAAAAACCCTGAGAAGAGGAATAACGCACCTCCTGCACCAGGCTGTCCTCCCTGATGGTGTCGGGTGAGATGCCCCTGAGCCGCTCCATCGTCTCGTACATGCCCTGCACCTCGCGCAGTTTGTCCACTGAGCCCAACATCTGCTTGAGCAGCACTAGGCCCACGCGGAACACAATTTTCACCCCTGGACAAAACCATAACAATCCACAAAGTTAAAAAAAAAAAAAAAAAAAAAAACTCCTGTCATAATAAAATTGCGTCTCTTGCCAGTCCTTCATGACACCTGCCAACTTGCACAATAGAAATGCAAAGTCAAATATGTAAAGCTGACTCTTATTTGGTACCTTCGCAGAAGAACATGTCCCATACGCGCAGCACGCAGGCCCAAGGCAGCGTGCGTGAGAAGATGCACATGAACCACTCGGTCATATAGAGGATGGGATCGATCTTGAACTTCTTCAGGTGTCTGTAAGCCATGGGACACGTACGGCGCAACAGCGAGAAAAAGATCTCGCCGTCCAGCTGGATGGCTTCCTGAAGCGGGGGGGAATAACACACGAGTCAGCCCAAAAAAAAAAAAGACAGAAAGTGACTGTGAAGTTTTCGGCGGACTCACCAGCCCGGCACTGTAGTAGCCCGGGAGATACTTCTCGCAGATCTGCACCAGGCACCAGAATGCTTGCTGTGGATCCCAAGTGCACGCGTGCATTACTGTCGACGGCCATCTTGTGACTACGCACTTGATCGTATTCAAATCCGGTGCGAGTGTGGCTCACTCACCTCGGCGGGCATGTGCATGAGGAGTACGGCAGCCACGGGAGCCTGCGCCTGGCAGTATCCCTCGTCAGGCCGGTATATGGTGTAGGCCTTCAAGATGCGGTAGAGATCTTGTTGTCTGCCGACACACAACACCACAACGAATCCATTTTTGGGTGCGGTATTAGTAGTAGTATGCAAATTGTCTACTCGCCTGGCAATAGGGTTTTATTTAGGTTGAGCGCTAGCATTAGCACTGGCGATGTC